TATATATATATATATATATATATATATATATATATATATATATATATATATATATATATATATATATATATGTATATGTATATACATATAAATATATATGTATATGTATATATGTCTGTGTTTATGTTTGTGTCTGTTTCTGTATATGTGGCGCGTTTTACTGCTATATATAGTATATTAAAATTAAATGAAAATAGTAGCTCCCATATGCTATAATTTAGATCGTTTATTAAAGTGGGTTGCGTAGCGTGTAATACTTTCAAATTAACTTATGTCTGTATCAATTATCGTCTGTAGGGCTCTTCTTCAGAACTTTGAACTAGGTACAGTGATGTTCAGCAACCATGGGGCATCATTACCCGAGCATATAGCCGACGGTGACTTGGACGGAGACTACTACTTTATCATATGGGATAACGATATACTCGATGAGATATCTCTCCAAGCGTATGTACTACCTACGGAAGCCAAGCCACTACCTCCCCACAAACTTAAAAACGATCCCCTAGACGTGAGTGACCTAGGAGATGACTGGTTTAAGGAAGGCCAGAGGTTCCTGAAAGACCCTGAACGCATGACGGAGAAGAGGGATATATCTGTGCTGTATGGACTGTGGAAGGATTGTGCAGAACTGTATGGTTTGGACCACAGAGACTCACGTGGTTTTGAGGCGGCTTTTGTTCAGGCCATCGATCAAGGGAAGCATGGGGATGAAATTGAGCTAGACGATGATTTACGTGCACGGTTCCTGGCGAAAAAGGGGAGTAAGTAGAAAGTGCGAAGGAACGTAGGAAGACGGTCTTAATGTCTCCTTGTCATGTAGCTGAAAGATTGAGCTTTATTAGAGGTGTATGTATTTAGACATTTGTGGTCTGACCATGATATCTAAACTACATATTGATACAATCTATACTATATATTTATACTATCGAAACTTTTTATTGATACTATCCAAACTATATGTTTATACTATCTTAAATATATATTGATACTATCTATACTATATATTTATACTATCGAAACTATATGTTCATACTATCCAAACTATATGCTTATACTTTCTAAAATATATATTTATACTATCTAAACTATATATATATATATATATATATATATATATATATATATATATATATATATATATATATATATATATATATATATATATATATATTGATCATCGAGCGAAGCGTCCAGGTACCGTAGGGTTTTCTATGGAGATTTGATTTGAGATAGACCTGACAGATCTATTCAGTTGCCACACCAAGCTCGAACCCTCTTAAATGGTGAGATAGCTTTTTTGAGCTGACAATAATTTATAATCATCACTGCATTGGGTATGCATCAAGCGATTCTCATATCATAGTGTACAACATTGTCCATGCGATGAATTTCTGATATGGCACACGTTTCCTTATAAAGGCAACACCCTAATGACAACTCGCGGTCAAATGAAGTGGAACACTGCAACCATGCCCTATTGTAATATAAGTGTATTCAGTTTCGGCACATTGCTAGAGTTGTTGAGTTCCACCTCAAGTTGTGTGAGTATTAGTATTGTTCTCCATACCAATACAGTTCAGGGAGCCGACTGCAAAGATCTCGAATTGAAATTGAGAATGAAAGTGTGGATTCTATAATATATGTGATATCAGTATTACAATGCATAAATCAACTATATTAGCATCGCATCCCGAACCCCTATATATTGGAGACTTTCGAGTCTATACTATGATGATATCTGTGTTAACTGGACTTCCTCTATACACTATATGGTTCTATGTACTATACCTGATTTTACAAGATTAACAGAACGATGTCTTTCTCTAGTAGCCATTAGTTTCCAATGTTTTAATGAGAAATATTATTCACACCCTATTACCAAGGCAAAGAGTTCAAAGACAATGCTATCACTGTCCCACTATCAATCATTTTAACATATAAGAAATACGTGAATCAAATTCAGATTATTTTGGATTGTTTTTTATTATTGAAAATGCATTAAAGTCGAAAGTTGTTTTTCACGTAGTGAGTATTGTGTCAGTACATCTGATTTCTGCTTATAATTGATAGATTAGACTGGGCAGGTTTCCGCCGTGTAGTCAGAGTTGGTGCCATCAGCGAAGAAACACGGGCAATCGGTGTCATAGCATGTGCTGCCAGCCTCTGTCTCAAGGATCAAGTAATCGGTACCACAATTGTCTGGGTACAATTCCCTGCACTCTTCCACAGATTCGACTGGGCCGAAGCAACCCAGTACATATGGCGCTGTGGTCTGTGTGTGGTAGTGATATACCTCAGGCCCGCCCTCCTCTATAGCACCATAGTGACCGCCGCAGAAGTCGAGGTCAGTGGGCTGCACAGCCTCGCCATCTACGTTGTCCTCATTTAGCCCATAAATACCACGGCCGTCAAGAGCATAACCAATCAATGCTGAATGTCCCAGTGCGTTCTGATCGTACTCACAGCTGAGGTCGGCATGATAATGGTATGGCAGGGCATGTCCATTGCACGGATCTAGTAGGTATGCGTAATCGACGTTCTCAGCACCACACTGGTATTCAAGAGTCGCGTCACAGGCAGGCACGTCAACGCCACCGTCGCATGTTCCATTGCAGACGAATCCTTCAACAAACCCAGCCTCCATTGGGCCATAGATATTCACACCGTGCAAGCTGATGCCGAGTCGATTTCTCAAAGGAGCAGCCCATGGTCCCGTGGTGTTGTATCCATCAACGGGGAATGTCATTTCTTGACAGTCGCTTGAAGCAGAGATAATGTAGTCGACACCATCGTCTTCACGACCATTCGGGTTACTGTTGGGGCACTGATTAAAAATGACCGTGCCATTGTACAGGCCAGTATCTTCATCATATGTCAAAGTACCATAAAACTCGTTACTACTTCCATCTTGACTACAAGTCTCGCCATCCGTTATCGTGCACTCGGTAGAACTCACCGATGATGTAGAATCCCCTTCCATATCGCCCAAGCCCATGCCCTCACCTCCTTCTGGGCCACCACCGGCTTCTGGCTGTGCAGTAGCCAGAGTGCTGAATAGGGCAACAGCGACTAATGTGGAGTATCGGAACATCATTTTGAAGTGTTTGAAAAAGATTGATAGCTATGAATTAAAGCTTTTGTTGTGTTGTGATTATTTGGAGAGCCAAACGATCCTTTTTTATAGCAGTATAGCTGAGGATGCACATGGATCAATATGGCTTATCGGCGTATTCATATCCCCGACCCCAGGTCATGTTAAGGGGGATCTAAGGTGTACAGACTACAGAGCATAGGCCCAGAACATACAATTATATATAGACCATTTTTTAAAGTATTCGAAAACATTTAAAAGATTCTTCCCTCTAAGCCGAAACGATGGGGGTTTCCCTATTCAAATTTAGAGTAGTCGTGGTCTTAAGTTTCCACAACATGATGTGTCAAGTGTGTTTTCATATAAATTTAGAGTTTAGTGTTTAGGGTTCTTATTATATTGTTTTAAATTTTTTTTAATCAAGATATTATAAACAATTGGTAAATATTTGTAAACCATATTGTTTTGTTTTTAAAAAAAGCCCCAAAAATAATAGAAGCCACAGTCTGTCCGCGCCCACATTGTCAGGAGTCCAGGACCCACTCTCCGACTCAGTCCATAATAAATTTTGGATAAATTTTGGTTTGTGGGTTTTTTTTTGATAAAAGTCATGTTCCTGAAACAATCTTTTTTATAAATTCAAATGTCAATGACCAATGTCAATATGATTTTTTTAACCAGCTAAAATACACAAATTTTTTTTTTTTAGAGGGCTACTACATGCGATATATTTATATATAGGTGATAAAGGGGTAAAAGGGCCGATGTGCCTTTACAGTTGCACTTTCATGACATTCTCAGAGAGAGAGAGAGAGAGAGAAGAACAAAAGATAAATATGGCCTTGAGACCAGTTTGAAAAAAACCCCCCCGTAAAATGGATCTTTTACGTACTACACCCAGCAGGAGACCAATTTAGTCTCCTACCAATAAAGTCTTTTTGTTAAAATATTTCGAAAGTCAGAAATTTGGGCTATATAATACCGCCACTTCATTGACTCATGGGTATTACGACAATATTTGCCAGGTGTTTTTTTTAGATTTTTTCTTTACACTCTTGAAAGAGAGTACTCAAACAATGAAAACAAGACAGAGACAGGCCCAGGCCACAAGTTCACAGTTAAAACAGTCAACAGTCTGTTAGTCTGGGACTGGGGAGAGCTCAGAGCGGTGACAGGTGACTGGACAGTCAAAAATCAAAAATTACAAAGGTATCCGGAGTTCCGGGCCCCGTATGTATAAAATACCTGTTTTCCCTGAAGTCTGAAGAGTAGAATTATACATTACGACATACATCTGTTGTCCAATCCAGCAATCCGAAACCAAATTCCGATAGTTCTACTATACGAGCACGGTGTGAAAATATATATATTCAAAATATTTATAATACTAATAAAATATCAAATAGTTTCATGCCGTCATCATCATGATCACTGATGATGGTCACGTATCGTTCAGTTGATGAATAAATTATAGATAAATAATAATAAATATGATTTAATAGGGTTTTAGGGTTTAGGGAGGTTACAGCCCTCACGCAGTCACAGGCCGTGAGGCGTAAGACTGAGAATCTGTGAGTCTCTGTTAGAGAGAGTCGAGACTCTGACTCTCAGAGAGAGTGGCTATGGTGAACAGATAACTTTAACCCCCCCCCCCCCCCCCTCCTGTATCCTGATATCAAGATATAAACCTGTCGCAAGCGACAGGCGGACCTAATAGCGTCAAATGCACAAACCAAGCAGTAGAAATTAGGATTGGAAAATCATACAATTACTGATCTGTACCCGTTTCTTGCGTTAATATGTGAATGATAAACGGTTCTAGCTAAATAAATATTATGGCTTTTAGTGTGATCAGATCTGTGACTCAAAGTTGAGAATGGACTTCTGGGCCTGGCTCTCTAGCTAGCTATATGCTTTCAGTGATAAATTCTCCCATAAAATATATCTATTTATTCACTCTCTTTAGATAGGAGGGTGAATTACCGTGAAAAAGTAAATACAAACGGCACAATCTAAAAATTTCTATTGCATTTTTTATTTATTTTTGTTTTTTTTAGGGCTGCCGGCCTGCCGCTGTTGCCGCCTGTTGATCGCAACAGGAATATAATTTTTCTATTGCGGTTGTTTTTACTTATTCTGGAAACTAAACAGTAAATAAAGAATACCGATTAGGGTTTAATGTAAATACAGTCATACCCTTTTATATGCCTACCTCTTTAAGTGTCTACCTCAATATATGTCCACTTTTCATTTGGGCCGACCCCCTAGAGAGCTGGGTCAGCTGGCCCCCTTTTGGGGCCCTGGAAGTCTGGAACTAATTAATCAGAAGCTCTCAGCTTAAATTTTTACTCATCATCAATACTTCCTATTGATCCAACCATTTAGGGGTTTTAGGGTTTAGGGGGCTTTTTTTAATGTTTAGGGTTAGGTATCTTTATTTATTTACACGCTATTGCTATATACAATGCTTGATGTCCGGGGTGGACTTGTGGCTACCGGCAGGTGTTGGCAGTTCCCGTCACCCTACGTACAGTGCAACTATCGTGGGGGCTCTGAATAGGAGACTGCTGAAGCTGTGATGTTTCAGCGGCGTGTCGAATCGGTATCGTTCTTCCTCGCCTGGGTAGATGAGTCCAAATCGGAGTTCGCGAGCCGCTTGTCGGTGCAGTGCGCCTTCTTTTTTGTTTGGTTTTTTTATTTGTGTATGCTTGTTTGAGTTTCCTGTAGGTTGTGTATGGAGGGTAATGGAGTATGTTCTCGCGAGCGAGCATGGTGAGTCTCATCGGGGTGAAAATGGTTGCTTGTTTGCCTAGATATTCATGTAGAGGATTTCTGTCTGACAAACCGGTTATATGATTTATTTCTTTTGTTTAGTGAATAATTTCACAATGGTGGCATTATGGACACGCTCGGTAGCGCGTAATGGTGTGTGGGATCTGTGGGGGTTGTTTTCCAGATAGTAACCGTAAAATGCACCCTGTGCTACTTTCCATAGCTTGTTAACGATTGTATCATATACTGATGTGATTTTGTCCTGATTTGCATTCTGGATAAGTCGTAGCCATAACTTAGAGATAGCTCGTATTCTTGCTCGAAAGGTATTTGCGTAGCGCGGGTTATTGCAATTATAAGTTCGAATTCGGTATCTATTGTACCCGTGTGCTGGCATACATTCCATAGATTTGGGCATAGTACTGGGGTATTGTATGTCTGGTGGTTTAATGTTGAGTGAAAACACCCATTCGAGATCTGTTTTGAGTGAAATGTCTGCGGCTTTGATGAGTGTGAGCTGTGTTCTCGTACGTGATTGATCGTAGACGTGATCGACTCGTATGTTCGCTGATTTGTTTGGTGTTATATGATCCATTTGGTGTAGCTGAGCATAGTATTCGATAGATTGTCTACGGTCGGGATATTTAATGAGGAAGTCATTATATTCTGTATCGCGGAAATTCATGTCTCCAACTAGTACATAAGGTTTGCAGTTGAGTGCCATTAAGAATTTGTATACGTCATCTCCTAGATGTGGTGCTAAATAGACACATGCTATGGTGACCATGCGAAAGGTGAATGCTACAAAGTATTGGCTTTGTGCATGTAGTTTGAAATCATTGGAGCTATGTCTACTTATTAAGGCTACACCGTTGTTTCTACCACCACGGTGTATACTACTAGATGGGGGTAAAGCATAGATAAGGTTGGTATTACTTTCATTGCAAACTTCATTGAGGCGGTCTGTATAGCCCCACGTCTCTACTAAACAGAGGGCGTCACATTGACTGCATAGTTTACTTATTGCTCTGTATTGTGCTTGTGTATTTTTCAGTGAGTTTAAGTTGACATAATACACGAGGATGTCACTCATTGCGATTTCGTCTCACTATTGGTTCGGTTTTGTTCGAATGCAGCAAGCTCTTTTTCTGTTTCTGCATCAGATACTTGTGGGAGATTTCGAACTATCGCCTAAGACTGATGCTATTTCGTCATCTGACATATAGTGCTCTGAGGCTTCACCGGTTTGTTCATCATCGCTTGAATCTTCGATTCTAGCTTTAATTGTGTTTCTATTTGCTTCGTCTCCACTAATTATAATTCGTTTGGGGTTTCTTGAGGACGGATTAGTATTGTCCGTGATGTTGTTTGGGTCTGCGATTGGTGGTAGTGTTGCGGGTGTTGTAGGTTTAGATTTTGCGTTGGGTGGGTGTGTGCTGTTTCGTATGTCAGTGGTTTTCGTGGTTGTATAATTATGAGTAGTGTTGGTGGTTGTGGTATCTGTTTGGTTTGGGCTGGATTGAGTTTGGGGTTTGGTGGTGGCTTTTGGTACTCTATTGAGTAGGTGGGTTAGGACTCTAGGGTATTGTGGTGGACATTTATCGCGAGATAGTGCACTGGTATATGCATTTTATAGACGTTTGCGAGCGCCTTCTATTGCGATTGGGTTAGTTACGTTAGCGGGGTCTGCACCCTTGTTAATGCGCCAACCACGAGCAAGCAGGATTTGTTTGGTTTTGCTTGCAAAACGTGTAGGAACTACAAGTTCTACTGCGCTACGATCTTTGTAGAGATATGACGCGTGCAATATGGGAATGTATTTCAGCAAATGAAAGTTCCAAAGCCATTTGGAGAGATGCTTGTTCGTCGGGAGCGTACCGTCTTCTAGTGCATGTGTGTTGCAACTAAAATAGAGAGCTGTGAGTTCCCAGTCCTCTTGGCAATCCCAAATAGAAAGGGCTTGCTTGGCTGGAACAGGTTTGTTTGTGCCTCACGCGAGGAAGTGCTTCGTGTTTGGTTGAGCATTGATTTGTATGTTGGTGGCTTGTCCTTGTTTGTAGGGGTTTGTAGTAGTCCTGGTGTGTGCGTTACTGTGGTATCTGGGATATGTATAGGATGTGGGTTTGTGGCAGAACTATATGGGTTGTTTTTTTTATGCTAGTTGCTGTTGGAGTTTTGCATTTTCACATTTTAGGGCGTGGTTCTGCTCTAGTAGAGTTTTGTTTGTGTGTTCTAATTTCTCTAAACGTGTGAGGATCTCCTCCACACCACTTACCTTGGGAAACCCTTCTGCAGATGAACATACCTTTTTGATGCAATCCTCGAAGTAGGTCATCTTCTCTATCAGGGGTAGTACAATCGCCTTCAGTTTCTCATCTTAGTCTGTGGGTTGATGGACTTCTCCTCCAGAGGGCGGGGACCGCCATAGTGTCGGCTAACGATCAAAGTCTGTTTGGTCTAGTGGTAAATTCCCTAGTTTGGTGTGGTGAGGTTTTACTAAAACCCCTTTCTGGGGTCTGTGTGGTTTGTTTGATTTGTGTTCACTTTCGCACTGTGTATGTTGAGTTCACATCTAAAGTGAGATTTAGAGTGTCAGCAGTTTGAGATGTGCTTGAAATATAGTTAGGGTTTAGGGTTCTAGAAACCCTAAAACCCTAAAACGGATGGGCCACGGGTACAATCTTAGTGAGACTTCATACAATAAGTATCAAGTATACATATGTGTAGTCTACACTCTAGCCACTAAACTTACTTCTTCTTCATGGAGGATACTTCTAGCTTAGGTCGCTGCTGCGTGCAAGGGTGCACGATCACGCAACCGACATCAGGTGCTTTTAATGTGCTCTTGATAGACTCATTAAAGTATGTAAACTTAAGTTTTCCTTAAATGGGTTTTAACGGTTTTTATTAATTAAATACCTTTTCCATTTTACATATCAGATATTTAGACAAGGCCATTAAAACGCCCCAGTAAAATACCAAACATAAGATTTGGTCTAGTTCTATTAATAGAAATATATTTACTTTCCAAATCTATTTATATCTATACTTCGGTAGCGAGATGGCTCAGCCGAACATAGGTTTATAAGGACTATTAGTGTTTAGTATATCCTCCGTTCAGCCAACCAGATATGCTTGTCTGATGAAGGCTAAGTCGGTAATTCTTGATAAGTGGCAAGTTTTTGGTTAATACAATAACTACGGACATCAAGAATATTTTTTCTTCTTCTTTATTACTAAAGATAGGATTTTATGAGTCTCTCGGATTCGCCCCAACGAAGCATACCATAGTTTCTAATAGAGCGACAACGAAACACAGAATAAAATCCCTTCGGCGAAAACAGTACTGAGAGGATTATATATAGGCAATGTCTCAGCCTCATAATCCCTCAGAGTATTGCTGTTTTCACGAGGCATACCTAACTTTACTAAACGTCTCATTTCGTTTATTTACCTTAATATTTACACGATACTTTGAATTTGCCTACACGTTTATTTATTTTAAGACATTAGTATCGCTTTTATTAGACCGAATCCTACACATTTTAAAGTTAGCAAAGGTATTAATTATTTAGACTACTTAAGCGTAAAGGTAGATTAACCACCACAATATTTTTTATTCTCTTGTCCAAGCTAGTCCTTAAGAGACAAGCCAGTAGTCATAAGTTAAGATTATGACCAAGAGACTCGTAAAATCCTTTCTTTAGAAAAAAGAAATTAAAAAAAGAAAAAAACTCTTGACGTCCTTAGTCATTGTCTTAACCAATAACTTGCCACTATCAACAATTACCGACTTAGCCTTCATCAGACTGGCATACCTGGTTGGCTGATCGGGGGATCAACTAGGTAACCCCTCGTAAGGTATAGAGACGCTGAGCACGTCTGGATCATATGCCTCAGGCGTAGCGCTTGAGTTTTTATGTTCTTCGGGAGTAATTGCCTGTCGACGTTCTGTCCACTTCTGTAGGGCTTCAGTAATGCCCGGGGAAACATGCTCGCATAAGTGCTGTGTATGTTTTCCTGATCTATATAATTGATCTACATGTTTGACAGTAAAGTCTTTCTTAATGGTAGCTAACTGATTCTTAAGATCAGCGTTTTCAATAAATATCTTACCTATGCGCGTTGGCTTAGTAGTCTCGGAAGTAGATTCGGGTTTGCCACTTGAGCTTGGCTCCTCTTCTGGTTCCATATTAGGTTCCTGAGATTTGTCCTTGTCCCCTATAATTGGGGACGCCCTCATAATAGGGGACTATCCTTTCTGAGTTTTGTCAGAAGAATGGGTTGGGGCATCTTGAGACGTGTCCCTTGTCTCACCTTTTGGCTTCGTTAATGTAAGCTTTGAAATTGAGGCAATAGTTGGCCCTCGGGCTCTATATGTGGTAGTAGTTTCCTTAAGCGGAGTGGCTAAACCCTTATGACTTTTATTGTCAGAGGCAAGTACTTTGGCTACAGTGCTGTTGAACGCATCAACAACGGCAGCGGTTGTTTCTGCTGCCGCAGTAGCTACGGCAGCGTTAAAGGCTTCTCTCTCCATCTTCTTCTTTTCAGCTTTACGCTTCTTAGAAGGAGTATTGTCTTTCTTTGTCAAAACCTTAACTTATGACTACTAGCTTGTCTGTTAAGGACTAGCTTGGACAGGAGAAAAATATATATGTTGTGGTTGTTAATCTACCTTTACGCTTTAGTAGTCTAAGTAATTAATACCTTTGCTAACTTTAAAATGTGTAAGATTCGGTTTAATAAAGGCGATACTAATGTCTTAAAATAAATAAACGTGTAGGCAAATTCAAAGTATCGTGTAAATATTAAGGTAAATAAACGAAATGAGACGTTTAGTAAAGTTAGGTATGCCTCGTGAAAACAGCAATACTCTGAGGGATTATGAGGCTGAGACATTGCCTATATATAATCCTCTCAGTACTGTTTTCGCCGAAGGGATTTTATTCAGTGTTTCGTTGTCGCTCTATTAGAAACTATGGTGTGTTTCACTGGGGCGAATCCGAGAGACTCATAAAATCCTATCTTTAGAAAAAATAGATAAATAAAAGATAACCAATAACTTGCCACTATCAAGAATTACCACTTAGCCTTCATCAGACTGGCACAACTGGTTGGCTTATCGGAGGATCAACTAGGTAACGTTAATGGTCCCTAGAAACCTATATTCGGTTGAGCCATCTCGCTACCGAAGTATTCAGATAAAAATTAAAATTGGAAAGTAAATAAAGCTCTATTAATAGAGCTAGACCAACTCTTTTATGTTTAGTATTTTACTGAGGCCTTTTAATGGCCTCATCCAAACATCTGATATGTTATATGGAAAAGGTATTAATTAATAAAACCATTAAAAACTATTTTAGGAAACTTAAGTTCTTCGTACTATTAAAAGTACTTTTAGGAAACTTAAGTTCCTCGTACTATTAAGAGTACATTTAGGAAACTTAAGTTACTCGTACTATTAAGAGTACGTTTATAATTTACGTACTGCTTCGGCTTGTTACAATAGTCAATAAGGGAGAAGAGATGTTAGGTGAGAATGCTACGCTGGAATTATCGAATGTATGGTTTCAAGATTTTGTGCGTCGATGAGGACTTTCAAACTTACGACTGCATGGAGAAGTGGGCAATACAATAAAAAGCAGTGAAGAAAATGATACAACGATGGAACAGGTGCGTATCCACCTAGCGGAGATTGATATCGACCACATATACAATATGGATGAAAGTGGGCTCTTCTATAAACTACTACCAAACAGAACATTTATCACTGCAAACGAAGCTAGGCGCAAAATGCGAGGAAGTAAACCAATGAAAGCTAAAGACACAAGTTGACATTGATTATTTGCACCAATGTTGATGGTTGCATAATATTCCAATTGCCACTATTGGAAATTCAAAGTATCTTAGACACTTCCATCACACACCTTGTCCTCTCCCGTATATAACCCAAAAGAATGCATGGAATGATGACACTGTTACTAAATGGTGGATGATGGATGTGTTTCTGACAGAAGTACGAAACAGAACTACGAAATGCGTGTGCCTAGTAATGGATAATTTTGGTACGCATGATGTAGATTATCTGAAGAAGTATAACGTCGATATAGTGTTATTTCCGCCCAACACAACAACCCATGGATTTACGGGTTATTTCAGCACTTAAACGAAAGTACAAGGCCGCATTACTGTCAAAGACAGTGCAAAACCTTTATATTGGTATGAAAGAGCTACGTCGATTAGGAGCAAAACGTAGAGAGGGGGACAGAGGATTACAATTTGGTTATCCTGCTAGTTTGAAGGATGTCGCAACCATAGTGAATACAATATAGGAAAACATATCTTCAATCAGTCTAGCCTATTGTTGGAAAAAGTCGACCTGCTTGCCAGAGAATTCTTCCGTCAATCATGCGTCGGACTATTCTAAGAGGTTGAAGGCTGATGTCAAAAAAGATGTGGATGATTTAGTGTCCATCTTTAAGACATATTGTGTGATGATTGATCCTAACAATCCACCAACTAACAACAAAGTGGCAGAGGAATTAGATGATTGAGTTGATGAATCAGCTGCACTACAGAAGATGACTATAGATGCTATGATGTCTATGGAATAAGCCTTAAATGTCAATGCTGCTGGTAAGTTTATTTAATATTTTTGATGTTTTTGTCAACCAAGTACTTTTATTGATATTCAATATAACTCTTAGATTGTTCTCATTTCTACAGCTGAAGAGCCAGAGGCGACATTCGATGTGGACGATGAAGAGAGTAACTTGACGGAGAACGACAGACAAATAGAAAGGTATAAATATCTCCAGGGGTTGGCTTTCGATAACCTATCCGCCACACTCCTACAGCTCAAAGAAGAACTGATCACAACATGTAGCGCCGAGACCTTCGAGGCATTTGAGACTAACTCGAGGGACTTGCGAACACTAACTAGAGAATGCAAACAGCTGCACGACAGGTTTGGGGTATCTCAAACCGTGATGCGAGAGTTTTCGGAATGGTGCCCAAAACGAAGAAAACAACAGCAGAAGACGCGGAAGCAGAAACCATTATGGAAGCAGAAACCTTTATGGAAGCAGAAATATTTATGGAAGCAGAAACCTTTATGGAAGCAGAAACCTTTACGGAAGCAGAAGCTGAGAAACCAGAAGAAGTAGAATCAGTGGAACCAAGTCGAACACAACTCAACGTAGATGTTGTGATGGAAGAAGATTTCTTGTAAATACTATACTATACTTTTCAATATGTAGTTTGATGGGTCAATACAAATATACGTGTAAATAAATTAATAGACAAATCATCAAAAAGAGCATTCTATGAGTATTCCAGAGTGCCTCTATCAGCTCCATATCTGTCCTATGCACCACACAGGTAGTACCTGACCTAGATATGTCTACCTCTATATATGTCCAAAGTTTGGCCCTGGGCGGAATCTGGACATATATAGAGGTACGACTGTACAACTGTCATCGACTCATCACCAATCATCACTGATGTCTGAGTCTGATTCTAGGCTCTGGTACTCTCATTGTACGCAGGTCGCAGTGAGAACCTGAGAGGCCTGTGTCCTTAGTCCTGAGAGTCTGTGACTGATCAGCTCATTTCCCAGTCCACAATCCACAGTCTAATTCCAGTGGAGTCCGGAGTATCTTGCTAGAGTAACGACTGTTGTACTGTAGTGACGAGACGCGGAGTATCAGCTCGCTGCAGAGACATTCTAAGCTATCTGATTGGTAGTCAATCTATTAGCACTAGATGGGGTTTTCCTACCCATTGACCAGGGTTTCATCCCTGAACATATTACTATATGCCAGTTAGTACTTAGTATAGAAACTATAAATACCCTGAGTTAACAGGGAATAAAGTAATTAGTTAAAGGGCCATCTATCTTGAGTATATTTTACTATATACATTTCATTAATGTATATCAATAACTTATAAGGTCCGGTATATCAATAACTTATAAGGTCCGGTATATCAATAATGACCACTGTTGTCCGGGGTGTCCAATGTTCCCTGATGGAGTCTGATTCTTCTCGCTCCCTTTTTCAGAGAGTAAGATTTGATTTTGTATCAAGAACTATTTTTTAAAATAGGAGTCAGAACAGAGAGGGCTGAAACTCGGAAACTGACAGCGTCCGAGACCAGCAGAGAATGGCGGCAGAAAGTGAGTCATGGAATAGTTCATAATCACTGTTTTTCTCTTTTTTCAAAATAAAAACACAAAATGAATGCTGGTAAAAAAGAGAATTATCAAAAATATTCAGAGTGGTCATTGTCATTGACCATTGACAATTTGGGGGTTTTTTTGGCAATATTTATTTACTTCGATTTCACGATCTGCTCGACTTTTTAAATGACAGGGGCTATTCATTTATATTTATTATTTCATCACTCGCAAATCACAATAGAGAGCATATAGAGATCACAGATATAAATATTTACTTCACTCTACCGCGGCATTCGGCGTGGACCAAATTCATAAGAATACTTTGGCATATTTTTATATTGGGATTGACAGTCATGAGTTTGAGTCTTTGACAGAGCCCAGGAGCCCAGGACAGTCCAGCAGAGTGCATACAACGGACTAATGAGATTATTACCAGTGCTCAGTTAAAAAAACGGCCGTTTTCAAGGGAAATGAAGGGTCAATAGAAGAGGGCTCTATAGTCTATGGACTATGACTGAGGACTATATAGCAGGAGACTAGGAGTCTATACTCTATAGGACTCTCAGGACTATGGAGATTGGAGTATGGAGATCGGAGGCGTAGCAACAGTGTTTGCATTCTGGTATGTATTTCTTCATCTTTGCAGGCATTTCTTCATCTCTGCAGGTATTTCTTCATATTCTTGTACATCTATAATAAATATATATGATTTTTACATCGCCCAAAGCTCATTACGCACCTTAAGCACCATTCGCAAGTGTGGTATAAAGTGTGTAATTCAGACGTAAACCATGCTGAGCGCTTTCAAGGCCTCCAGGGTCGCTATCGCTCAAACATCCCTACTCGCCCGAAAGTGGGGTGCTCGTACATGTGCCACTGCATCGGTTTCCTCGATCTCCGGTAAGAATATGCGCTTAATATACACAATATGCACATGAATTTTATATCCTACGTGTCAATGACTTGATCAAAACCGTCTGCGAAACTGGGGATCTACTTTGACGTGCGTGTTTTGTGTGCAATGGCGAAGCAAAATTTTATATCAATGTCCTATTTCGCATGTAAGGGGACTTATATAGGCTATTATTACACACACGAGTGTACATGTACTAACCTACAAATAAACACACGCACACAAATACACACACGCCTATATATATATATAATATTAACACACACACACATATATATATGTATAATACACACACACACACACACACACACACACACACACACACACACACACACACACACACACACACAC